TGCACAAACACAGAAACACACACAAATATATTAAATCAGAAGTCAGATGTTTTAACAAAAGACGTTCAAATGCAATCTGAAACTCATGCCATGTTCTGGGCCTGCTGTGCTTCCTTTGTACCACCAGATGTCAGCAGCGTTAAATTTGTATTCACACTTGACCAACAGAGGAGCTCATCTTTTTTCTAAACACACTTTGTATAAAAAGGAACTTGGTGGTCCCCTCACCTCCCGCGGTACACGGTCTTGACCGGCTCAACAGCAAGAGCAGTGGCCACCAGGTCGTCAGCGTTGTGCCTCCGCCCACTCACCATCAGGAGACCCTCGATCTTACCCACCACAAAGATCAGGCTTCCCTGTGCAAANNAAGGGGGGGGGGGGACACACAGCGGGGTCATTATACTGTAAGTAGAAAGACCCATTCAAAGACAGAGAGAGAAGGATGGTTTCTAGGAGGGCTCAAGTTACCTCAGATGTTGTACTGTAATGAAAAGTCCTACTTACTGGGCCAACAAACCCCAAGAGGCCTGACCGCACAAATGGAATCTCTCCAATGGGAACTCCATTAGCATTAACCGGTATTACCTGAAGACGACGACAGAAAATATAGCACAAAAAGAGATAAATCAAGTTTATTATTTAATGAAACTGAATCAGCAGGCAGGCTGTGGGTGTAAGTCTGCTTTCATACCTCAAAGGTGTTTTTGGTGACTCCAGGCAGCCCGTAGTACATGTTGCCTCCAGCACGGGAATTTACTATTATCTCTCCTATCTCATCTGTTTTACACAACTGAGGAGGCCCGTCTGGCCTAACAATGCACATCAGAGCTGGAGACACACAAAGGTAACATTTAGAAAATATGGACTTCATAATTTAACGGTATATTAAATCTTCTGTTATGATTTGGCGCTATACAAATAAAGTTGAAAATTAAATCTTGCTTATCTATCAAAGATCTATAATTGCAAAAATGTTTTTATTTCCTCTAGCTGTTGAGGTTGGCAGATCAAAAGATATTCAAGGGAATATAGATTGCTTGAGCTGTGTGATTTTAGAGAAATGGAAAGAGTCTAATTTTCCTCTGTATTGTAGATACTATAATGACATAAGAGCATCAATATTTAATTCAATGATTTAACAAAACCCTGAAATATTCTGGGGTAGAGACAATGGGAATGGTTATTTAATTTTGATTTGTGTAAGTTACTGAGCAGTCTCAAAAGTTGAAAAATGTGCCTTTGTTCTGAGTTTTCCAGTATGGCTACAATTACATGGGTATTTTTTATCATTATATTTATTATGATTTGTGTTGTAGACACAAAGGCTTGAAATTCTGAATTTAGTGAAGTGTTGTAGGTCAATAATGTTTTTTATGTAAGGTTTTCCCACAAGCACTTTCCTTTTGACTTGTTTATCTTTCCATCTATCCTCACCTCCAGGCATGACATGCCCCACATCTTGCACAGTCAGGGCGGAATTCTTGTCCTCGGTGTTGACCCTGATGACACCGTGGCTCAGGCCGCCCATGGAAAGAATGGCACGGGCGGGGAGAGGTGCGCCAGGGACTCCCGGTCTACACAGGAGAGAGTTTGATCAAACATGAACATTTCCATCCATCCCATCTGTTCTCACAGTCAGCCATCTGCCCACCCACCTATGTACACCACCACATAAGACAGACTGCATCTTCATCCACCCTGCCAGACCAGTCATTTTATTAATCATCACATCCTTTCATGGGTCTTAGATTGAAATGGAGGGTGTTAGGGTGGGTAGAGGGAAGAAATTGGAGGTTGGTGGGACTAAAAACTTTCTATTTCATCTTATATAATGCTAAAAAAAACAGGAAATATGAGTCAGTGACATACCTGCGTATAGCTACTGTCATGGCCTCAGGGGAGGTGGCACAGGGACAGATAACCTCAGGCTTCAGCCCGTGGGACTGAAACACGTTCAGGAAGGCATCACAGGAAGACACCGACCCTGGACAGCAGAGAGATTCAACATATTCCATCTAATTTTTGTCAGTTGAAAATAACTAGTTTTACAAAGCTGGGAGTCATGAAGCACTCACAGGGGTTAGCACCATCAGCAACAACCAGCATACGTAATGAAGCCAGACTGGTGTCTCTCTGCTCCCGATGGGCCATCATGGCCCAGTGTAGATCACGGCACTTCACCAAAGCTACACGAGCTGCACGGGAATGAGAGTGACATGTCATGTTAGATGAGAAATTCTTTCATATGGCATTACTATTCACAAGCTGAGAGACCAGTGTAATTTACCTTTGTGGATGTGGACCCTTTGCACCCAGGAGAGAGGACAAGCCTTCATAACAGCATAAGGAACACTGATAGTGTGTATCCTGTTCATCACAGCCTAGAAATAAACAAAACCTGATTAAGCAGCTAATACAGTCTCTATTTTTTTCCGATCATGACAAATAGCATACATTGGGACATTCTACTAAACGATGTTCTTAAATTACAGAAACTTTTAAAAAGACTCCCCATCTTCCAACAGAATCTGAGAGCCTAATTGTCAAAAAGCTTAGTGCTTTAACAGTCAAATAGTTTAGTTTATTGTGCCAATATAAGTACTGTAAATTGTTAATGAATTCAATAGCATAAATAACTGCAGTGACATTATGTGGGTGAGATAAACAACAACACAACATCAAGTCCCAAAAAAACAATGCAACTTTTTATCTGTCCATCACAGAATCCATGAGGTTTTTATGATTTGGTGAGTTTACCAGATACTTGATGAGAACACAGACCATAAAATCCCCTTTTCTGTTCTTTTCTGGTGCAACTAGAATAATCTAAAAGCACCTTGAAAGCATTATCAGGAAGCACCGGAGTAAAGAACCTGCTGTAGACACACAGCTTGCATGTGCAATCATATGTAAACACACCCATGCATACATCGACACACTTACCGTGAGTACTCCATGCCACAGGCCCATATCCTTTTTAAAGTCCAGGACATTCACTAAAGTTTCCCCTTAAAGTGATGAAAGGCAGAAGTGACTTCAGACTTAAATAAAACAACTGTATGAATAATAAAAATAAATCTTCAGATCATGACGACAATCCAGGTCTTTACTCACCCTCACAGTAGTTGCAGGCCTGGGTCAGTGCTTGACAGTGGGTCAACATGGCAACTTTAGACACAGCCACACCCACCACTGTGCCATCTTTACTCGCTTTGTACTACACAGAGAAGAAACACGAGGAACCTGTGAACACTTGTGTAAACTGCAACAAGCTTGTCTTTTCATATCACATCAGGATGCAGGAATGGTTTTAATGTTCCCAAATTAAATATTGTTCTTTACTGTGACCCAGTTGTGTGCTAGACAACAGCCAGTTACACAATATAGTCTCCCTAAAAGCAATAACTGGTTAATGTAACTTGCAGCAGCTCTGTTACCTCTATATATGCAGGGTCAGTGTTGGCGGTGGGGATGTGTGGCTGCCAGTCTTTGGAAGGCTTGGTCAGGTATTTTGAGTCTGTCACCACCCACTTTAGTCGAGGCCAGCCTATCAGAGAAAGGAATCAGTGAAAGTAAAATCAAGGGTGCTTACAATTTACTTGAGAATGTAAAAAAGGGAAATTCATCACCTCTTCATTACAACACAGTAGAGTACAGAGTACACAGTACCCTTTGCATAACAATGTTGTGCACAAACAGTCTGAAGGTGACCTGAAATGTAGCCATCATGTTTTACTTTCAGCAGTATTTCATACAGACCTTTAAACTGCAGTATTTCCCCGGTGGGCGTCTTGGGTAAACCCTTCAGACAGATCTCACTGGTCAGAGCCAGACCGACACCACAGCTACCGAGCAGGAACCCCACCTGGCTGATACCAGCATCCTAAAAACACAACATACATATTCATAGTTAAACAGAAAAAAAAATATTTCTGTACTGACAAAATTCACATGTTCCTGTGAGGGTTTTTATTTTACCTTGCGAGACAGTGGTACTTCAATAGGTACAGGTATAACTTCAGCCAGGAGACAGCCGTAGAAGGCCACCCAGAACATCCCAGGGTCACTGTTGGGGTACACCAACGCCACCTACAAAGATATAAAACTTTACATTTAGGAAGATTAAGATGCTAACATCTGCTAATTCGCACTAAATGCAAAGAGCAGCAATTGTGTTAATTTCATGGCAATTCACATTTTTGTAATCTAAAACTTTATTTCTTCTTATAGTGAAATAATTTTTACCTATTACCCATAATTGAAATGCAACAATAAAATAATTTCCAGAGCTGATATGGGTTCAGTTCAACAGGGCTAAAAGTAACAAATATACAGGTTTAAAATTAAGGACTGCAGGACCACCAAATGTTCCATTCCTCTGTGTTAAATTAGTGTGTCAGGATGAATTGTTTAATACACTTGTTGTGTGTATCTGTTTTCTGTCAGTGTGTCAGCCCTCTCACCCGGTCTCCAGGTTTGAGGATTTGCTCATTCTTGGTGCCCAGCTTGTTCAGGAGGGTGTATGCCAGCTTCACGCTGCGACTCCACAGCTTCCCTAACAGACAGAAGGTGGAGCAGGGAGGAGAGAGTTAGGAGGGTAGGTTATGTGTCTTCCCACTGCCAAAAGCACTCATGTCACACACATCTTTCTATTATCTAGATGAACTCTTGAACTCTTAACATGAACCTTTCAGCTGTAACTCCCAGCAGTTGTATGTTACAGCTACTGATTTGACACTGTAAATTTAATTTCAGGAGTCTCACCATAAGTCAGTGTATAGAGGGGTTTTCCTGTGATGTCAAGAGCAGTGAGGGCGGGACTCTTCCCCTGAGTGGCCCCCCAACGGGCCAACGCTGCCTGGAGGGCGGGGGGCCAGTTACTGACCACTCCCAAAGGTTCCCCTTTCACCGGGATGATCTGACGGCCCTCTGGCTTTGGTGTGTTGGGGTCCGGCTGGGGCACTGTGTGAGAGAGAGGCATCAGAACACTTATGGGTATATACCAGATTGATCAGATTCATTCTTTGCTATTTTAATTGCCTAAATATGTGAATAATTATCTATTTTCTGTGATATGTGAGGTAAAATTACTGTTGTGGTCTATGTAGTCCGGTGGCATGCGTTATTACAGGCATATTCTGACTGTTTCTGGTTAAACAAAAGCTCTATCTCTGTAGGGATACTTTCCACTTAGAATAACAATCTGAGCTTGTCAGTGGAAAAAACAAATCCCCAGGGTCATTGTAGCCCGTTTCGCAGCTATCTTTTCATCTAACTCTGTGAATTAAGCATTTATTTTGACCAAACCAGAGTTGGTGATTGTTGGAAAGCCTGTGGAAAGACTAACAAAAACAGTTTTGGTAAGTTTTATTTTGTTTCTGTCCAATCTGAAGTGTGTTTTATGATTATTTGCTAGGTAAAAGTAAAAAAGTTTTGTCAATAGAGTCCGTAGCACCCATTGTTTTAGTCTGAGATGCTAATGCAAGTGAATTTTGTATATATAATCTTGAAGTAGAAATGTAAGGGACATTTGAGAAGTGTTTCATGAAGCCGTATACCTTCTACGATCTCCTCTGAGTCGTCGGTGAAGAACTCGCTGAGCGGGGGCCTCTTTGGCCTCTTCAGGGTATTGAGCAGCTGTTGGATCTTTGTGGACACTCTGCTGCTCACAGGAACTCCTACACGCAGGATGAAGGTGGAGAAGGGAAAGTGGCAGGACAAACATGCAGTCACACACTCACTATGGCTCATACACACAGTGACAAAACACTACATGTTTAAACTTCTTAAACTTCCATCTCATAGTTTGCTGCTCTTCATCTCATTACACAAGATACTGTTTGTTTTTGTGAAGATTTTAGTTGATTGTAATATCTTTTGGGAATGAAAAGCAGCATACATAGGTGGCAACAACACGAGGAAAACACGGTGAGAACTGGGGTAAACTTTTTTTTTGGTTTGGGATCACACGTGAGGATTCATTCTGTGTGTGGATGTTGTTTTTGTTGCATTTATTTCTATAATCATTCATTACAAACAAGAGGGAGAGTAAGGGTACAACAGCAAACACAGAAGGCTATGGACATTATACATTAAGGAGTGTCCTTACTCTGGATATTACCTCTTCCTATCAGCCAGTCAAATAAACATGTGACAGGGTAGAGAAAGATCAAGAAGAAAAGAAAGCAGTAAAGTCTGAAATTAGTTTTATAATGACACTTATTTTGAAGAGAGAAGAGATTTGTGAGTAGAGTCAGACGCTTCCGCAGAGACACACAAACAAATAAAAATGCTATGTGGTTTGGTCGTTACCGTCCGCGGTCTCCATCATGCTCGAGCGGCTCTGCCCGCGGCTCATCCCTCGGACCACGGCATTGGAGGGCAGATCCACCCGCGGTCCTCTGGATGGAGGAGCCCCAGCTGTCACATCTGGAGGTGGGGCGCTATTCTCTGAGGGGGCTGCAGGTGAAGGAAGGGAGGACAGTCTGAAACAAGCCATCTTAAAGTTTCAGCTTACTTTCTAATCAAATTAAACCAGGCAGCGGATTAAGTGTATAGACATAATAGAGCACATAGAAGGTATAACACAAAGTTAAAATTGAGTCAAATGGTCAAAAATATATTGTCTTGGATTTAAATCAGCAGACAGCTCACCAAATAATATTACTCTGAATCCATTTTTCTTTTTAAATCAGCAGTAAAACTTTTAATTAGTGACATTTTAAGTGTTAAGAGTTACATGTGATGAATAATTGTATTTGAATTAATAAACTATGATGTCCAAGATCCAGACCTTTTCTTCATGAGTTTTGAACACATTTAATAGTTTTGAATGATTAGTATGTGTATAATACTGTGTTATCAATCATTCATTAACTGTTTATATGATAGTATCAAACACTTGACAGGACAATTATAATTATTATTATTAATGAAATAGACACTTTATCAATAAATTATTAACTATAATCACACCACCAAGCCCCAGATCTGGCTGATATCTCCTGTAATAATCAATCAGTTTTGGTCAAACCAAATAAACAGCAGTCACAATCCATGAATATTTCACACCAGTCAAAAATCAGTGGAGTGTCTCACCAATGCGACTGTGGGCCAGCATGTCCGCCACAGCTGCAGCGTGGGGATGTTCATGTGACTGTTGCTGAGACTGGTGCTGTGGTTGGTAGTGAGGCTGATACAGCGGTTGGTACTGCGGCTTGTACTGGGGCTGGGGTTGTGGCTGAGGGTGAGGGTGAGGCTGAGGCTGACTCTGAGGCTGCGGCTTGGCCTCTCCGTGGGAAAGGGTTGAGGAGGCCGAGGAGGAGGTGGAGGAGCCCTGGACGGTGCGGTTGATCCAAGAGTCCGGGCTCTGCAGGTTGGGATTGACCATAGGCGGAGGAGCGACCACTGATGACTGCCTGCGCACAGACGTCTCATCTTCAGAACCTGATGAGGAGTCTGAGCAAGAGAGAACAAAGTGTGAATTATCCAACTCTGTATCCTCCCTGGCTGAAGGTCAATCTGTAGGACTTCTGTCCTTCTTCCTGTCCTACCTGGTGGTGTGCGGGTTTCAATGGGAGATTGCACATAAGTGGAGCGTCGCTTGGTAGGCATGGGTAGTGCCATCTTCTCTTCTTTATGTTTAGCCAGAGCAGCTTGTACTGCTTCAGTATGGATATCTGCATTGACAATGCAACAATGCAATTTGAGTTAGTGCCGGCTTGACATGATCATTGCAGCTGTGGATCTGTTACTAAACAAGGACACAATAAAAGAAACAACAAAAACTTTTCAAATGGCCATTTGCGCTCAACACATAGTCATTTTCTTTTTTTCCATACTAAGAGATTCTTGTGGGCACCTTCATTGGTTAGTGTGGTGTGATTCAGATTCAAATTGCTAAATGTTTTCCTTCTTCTTTCCTATTTTCCTTCTTAAAATGCTTCCTTTCCCTCATTGCAGCTGTAATTGTTTTAATTGTGCTGTGAGTCCTCTAGATCAGTAAGTTCCAACCAAGTTGATCTGCGCTCAAAAGCCCCTGCTCCAAAAAAACAGTAGAGGAAGGGCCTGGGAACTAAGTTTAGATCCTGGCTCCTCTAGTCGACAGGCAGATAAAGAATCCTGCAATGCAACAAAAGTTATGCGGTTCCTGGAAAAGTCCCTGCTGTCTGGTATGGAAGGAATAAAAATGAATGCAGGGATTTGAACTATTTGTACAATTATTTCAGTAGAACCACATAATAGGCAGCAGGATCGGTTTGTAAGAACGTTAACTGGACAGAAAAGCTGAAGAACAGACAACTGTTAAATATAATTGTCACTCCGCTCTCAGCTTACACACTAATTCAACCTATGACGACTTTGTTTTAAATGTTTGGTTGCCACTGATTCATTTCTTTCCAGTAATTTTTGACAGCAGCATCTCAGTCAGCAAGGCTCTAAACAGCACATCAACATGTTAAGAAAGATTACGAGTGAAGAAGTCAGGATAAAATCCTAAGAGGATGAGTGTGTTTTCCCACAGGAAACCACGACAGGAAGAGAGAGCAAATTAGCCCACACACTTGCCTACACACATGCACACAGTAATAAATGCAGAGATACTTTCACTTGATGACACCCACAGGCACATTAAACACAACCACGTGAACAGCCACACATTCAGACTATGTAACAACACATGTGCAACAAAAGCCCACTCACTGACAAATCACATCTATTAACTCGGGGGACACAAATTCCATTCAAACATCAACACATTTAAATAAATCATCAAGCACAGCAGCAGTGGGGACCATAATTACATAACTGGCATTCTGCTGAACAGATCGCTCGGGGCTAAATCATCTTCTCTCATAATGTGCCCATCGTCCACCCTCACACAGGGGCGTCAGGAGAGGCTCACTCCTTACACATGTCTAGGAGGATGAGGGTCTGTCTCCGTGGCGACAAGCATGGCAGGGTGCATGGAGGCTAGTGGTCTGTTTAACACCAGCTCCAATCAAAACTGAGATGCAAGTATGAGCAGCCAAAGGCCTTAGTCTGGTATTATCTTTTATATGTTTACTATTACACATTTGAATCAGTCCAATCATTTACAGAACAAACATATACATATATATAACATATACATATATATACAAACACGTATAACTGTAGAGACAGCAGTCTCTCAGGAACCAATCAACATTGGATTTTGGTGAACGCAGTACACAGACAGGTTGTTCAAGAGGAGTAATAACTGAAGGAAGCTCGAGGAGATAAAAAGCAATTCAATTAAAGTTGTTCTGCACTTTCTCTGCAGCCCATAAAATGCTTTAATCTCTTCTGTTTTCCCATTGCTGCAGTGTTTTTTCATTTCTTCTTATTATTTGTTTATGCTGGCTGTCTCTCCTAAAAATCTGGATTTCCATTTTTACACATTTTTCAGACTGTTTGCATTTATGATCAAATACCTGCAAAAAGAGTGTGTTCAGTGCTAATGAGCAAACGTTAGCTTGTTTAAACACTTAACCATATATTCAGCCTGTGTGCTCAAAGCACTGCTGTGCCCAAGGACAGACTCGCAGAGCGTGTACTATGGCTGTAGAGCCCTGTAGTGTGTTGTTGCCTGCTGGTTTACACAAGGTGGAGACCCCTGACTGCGTGGCGGCAGCTGTGTCTCAGGAGGTAAAGCAAGCTGTCCACTAATCAGAAGGTTGGCGGTTCGATCCCCGGGGTCCTCCCGCTGCATGTCGATGTGACCTCGAGCAAGATACTCAACAACCAATTGCTCCCCATGACTTTGGATTGCACATGTGGTTGGAAGAACGTATTTTACTGTGCTGAGACGGCACGGTTGTGTTCAGTTTTTGGATTACAGGGGCCGTGGCGCGGCCCATGTTATTGAAGTTGTACATTTTTGTACGCGAAGCACTTTTTTGTTTGTGACGTTGGGTCGGAGACTAGAAAGGGGATATATAAGTGCAGCGCATTTATCGATATATATATATTTATCTTATTACTCCAGTTTATTAGGTACGTGTAGCTAAAACCAATGCTGTCTAATACACCACACCTGCAATAAATCTTTCCTTCGTTAATGTTATAATGTTCAGCTTTTACTGAAACTGAGGTGATTCAACTTTATGATAATTTTGAAAGCTGTTGAACTGTATGGTGTTATACAGAGAGGTGTTTCTATTATTTACCCCATTTATATCAATGAGTGGAGGTAAAATAATGGAAACATCTCTCTCACTAGCTGATAAACTGGCAGCTGGCAACTTTTTTGAAAAAATGACAGTAAAATCCATCAGCTTTGATCGAAAAAATGAAAATTACAGGTGTGCAACACTACACAACCGGCAGCTTTAGGAGGGCTATAGGCTACATGAATTCAGTATATTTTATTTAATATACAAATTAATGATTACTCATGTATGATAACTCAATTTACTGCTCACTACAGAGTAATATAGGTTATTGACGGTCAGATGAAGATAGGGATAGAGGAGAGGTATGCAGGCCCCTACCTGTGTGCGTGTGCTGCTGCGTCGCCGCTGCCTTGAAAGCTGCCTAATCTAAATGGTGCTGTATCAGTGCACTGTTACTGTACTTGAACTGTAACACTGCAGAGCAAAATGGATGGCACACTCATCACATGGCAAAAGGCTCCTCATCCCTCTTGTCCTTGCTCTATGTTCTTCTCCTCCAGGTCGCCTCTTTCAACCCGTCAGTTCTACAAAACTTTACTTCTACACTGTTAAAACCCAAGACAATGCAGCACCACTTTCCACCCCAGTCCATTTCATTTTCAATCATTCCTCGTCTATTTATAGATATACTGCACCAATCTCAATTGTTGCCTTTATGTTTTCTAGCTCTAATCTTCTCTTGGTTGAATCCTCCTCCCCAAATCACATAAAAAATAAAAGATATTCTGTTACTGGTCAGATTTTTCTATGGCAACAAAGCATTTCAAACAACCCTGTCCACCACCACCAGACTCCAGCCTAACAGACAGACTTAGTGAGCCTGGTATTTAGCATACTGGTGTGTGAGGGTGTTTCATATGAGAGGCAAGAATTGTTGAAAAAGGCGAGCAGGAAGAGAGAGTTAAGAAAAAAGACAGCAGGGTGTGGGTCAGTCTGGAGGGAGGATGCTTTTACAGTCTGAACCACAGCTAACAGACAAATCCTCCTCACATGCTCTGTGCTCTTTCACCTCTACTCTACTGCTCTGTCTTCCTCTATCCTCGCCAGCGTCAGGTTTTCCCCTTCCAGATCAGTATTCCCCTCTTCTCCTCTCAACCTCCTCGCACATAGCCAGGCAGTGACATCACTCTGCTTTCACAGAGTGGGGGTCCTCTGTGAGGGGCTCCCCAGCTGCAAGGGCTGCACTGTCTCTCTCAGCCCCTCACACACAGCAGCACACACACAGCCGACACACGAGTCAGCGGTCACACACCACACACACACACACACACACACACACACAGCTACGCGCACACCCACCACGCGCAACACCACAACACAGCACACACGCGCACACAACACCCACACACACAACACACACCACCGCGCACAACACACACGCGCACACACCCACAACACGCCACACACACACGCACACACACGACCACACACACACACACACCCACACAACCAGCGAGCACCACATGGCACACACAGGCTCGTTCTTTAATTGCGTCCCCTTGGAAAGGCAGGCCCGAGTGGTTCTGCGGCTTTTTTTTTAAAAAACAGTGGGCTTAACAAGTGAAGGCTGACATGTCATGTTTAGCTGCCAATTTGATGCACTGCAAGGGTTATCAGGGGAGGAACGGCGATATTCGCTCGTTTCGCCTCACTGATTGGTGGCATCCAGAGGTTTTTTCACATCTGGGGAAAAAAAAAAAGGTTGAACGCTGGAGGTGTTAGCTTTTCTTCTTGCTTTTTTTCTTATTCTTTTTTAAAGTTGGGAGTCCTGACCTGATCTGTAGCGGTCATCCCTGGTGCCTCCACTGCGATGTGTTCTGCGGGAGCGACGTTCTCTGTAACGGGACGAGCTGGAGGGGGGTGGGGCATGGCTGGAGGAGGAACTGGGAGCGGGAGGCTGCACGTCAGGCTGACGGGGCGGCTCCACTGTCAAATACATAAACAACAAACATTTTAAAAAACACATGAGAACCGGCCTCTATCTGGCCTCTAGGATAGTATGATCTCTGCTGCCTTAATGGGAAATCCATGTAGCATCAGAAGCCATGTCTGTCAACAGCATCCGTACTTAACTTCTGCCTCTTTTAAGACAAACAATGTACGTAAAAATGTCCTCAATGACTGAAGGGAAAATTTTGCATACTCTCTACAATTTTCATAACATGAACATATTTAACTTATACACGATATATGTTATATGGTGTAGGGAACAGGACAATTCTTTGATTTTAATTAGTATGAGTATTAGTATGACTATGATTCGCAATGTTATATGCGATTATTGTCGGTGCTTGTTCCTTGATAAATTTGTTCTTTTTGAGAATTACAATAAAGATGAAGAAATAATTCAAATTAGTTTTATTGTTTTTATTTGTTTTATTATGAGTTTGTTACCACATATGTAGATACATAGATATATAAATATTATATATACACACAATATAAAATATTATATACACACGAATATCCCAGTCCCAATAAACAACAGGAGGAGGCAGCAGTGAGCATTATCAGGTCTTAATATTACCAGTGTCATTTACAGAAACAGCTATTTACAGAACATTTACTGCTATCTTCATCAAGTTTACATTTCTTTCAATTATACTGTAATGCAGTTCTGTTTTTAACAGTTTATAAACACAACATTTACAGTGTGAGACCCAGGTTGAAATAACCCGTCATAAAAAGAAACTGACAGTAAGCTGAGTGTTGATTTTGTGTGACTGAGTCATGGCAATAAGAAACTAAAAATCAACTGAAATCAGGGCCATACCAGATAAAACTGTTAAAGTTTCAGAATTACATGTTCTTTTGTATAACCAGAGATTAAAGTGACAGATAGATAGGGGGTACAGAGGTATGCTTGTGTTGAGAGGTGATGGGTTTTACCTGGAGTATGGATGATGTAGGGAGCCAGGAGTTTGGTCCTTTTCTTCTCATAGCCCTTCTGTGTAATGTCACCTGTAAAGGAGCAGAGAGAAAGTAGTGACTTCACTTACAGGCTGGGCAAAGCCAAGGCCACTTAGATTTGATAGTATTCGAATAAACAGCAGTAACATTCAACATTTTAGGGGAAGCCTTTTTATATTCTGCATTACATACTAGCCATTTAAATGCTTGAGTAAAAAAAGACCCATTCAAAAAATAAACTGAATTAGGACTGAACACTGATCTACATTCCCTCATGTGTCTGAATGTGATCTATTACCACCTGTTCAAACACGAGAATGGTGACACAGAGGGGAGAGAAACAGGTAGAACAACAACAAAACTTTGTAAAAGAGAAGATGGAAACACAGATGGATGCACACAGTGTTGCAGTAATCTCCAGAGATGGCTGAGGGCGTCAAAGATGTGGCTCCATTCCAGCCTTAAGTACGGCACGAAGGGAAAAACAAAACAGGACTAAATTTGGAAACATACGGAAGCGTGGGCAAGGGATGGGATGATTCACACAGAGAAAAACCGAGAGGCATAAAAGTTATGGGTAAGAAATGGTGGGAGACACATGGAGATAAAACAGGAGCCCAGAGGAGGAAGTGATGATGAAGATGAGGAGAGAGACAGATGACAGCGGTGAGTGAGTGCTTTCAGAGGACAGAAGTGGAGGAATCTCGAGTCACGAGTGGCAGAGGAGCAAAATGTCCCTCCTATCCCTCCTGCTGACAGCCCATCTGCATCTTCCTCCAGCCCACCAGACACAACACAGGCTGACTGAGCTCTCTGCTGGCCCTGAAGCGATGCAGTGACTCTGCCAAACTCCTCTGTGGGCAAAGCTGTCAGATTTTCAGACACGTACAAAAAATCCATCTGGAGAGCCTGCACTCACTTTTCTAGTAACTGTGTTGAGCAGCGATGATTCATTCAGTATGTCCGCCAGTGGCTGCCCTGGCCGCTCTCAAACCTCATCTTAATCATGAAGACTGTCTCGCTGTTTTTTTAAAATCAGAAAATCATTACAGTATGTATAAGAATAAGGGAGTCAAAACAGAAAACTAAACAAGCCTGCCACTATCTGTGACTCTTCTGCAGTTGTATCATCTCCAGGAGCTCCGAGAGTTAATCCCTGATTAAAAATTAGGCTGCTGAGACACACAGTGATGAAAGTTTAAAGCCGTCTGCCACTGATGTCGTCTCTTCCCAGTTACACCACAGAGGACAATAGAGATTAGATGAGGATTTCTGGACACAAGTGAACAACTGCCAGGCACACAACAGACCTGGCTGGGTGATTCGGTTGAATTCCCTCAACTTTGTTATTATTTTTGCGGTTTGGGCTGTTATTTCATTGTTCTGTTTGCTGATATCTGGGAACAAGGCAACATCACTACAACTCAATCTCAACTTTCAAACCAACATTGATGAGGAGTCCTTAAAGTGCTCAGAAAAATGAACATTTGAACATAATATTGCACGACAAATGGATGAACTCCATCTGCAGAGGAGGACATGATATGATTGACAGCTACAGAACAGCTACTAATGGGCCTTGTGGTGAGACTGGTGTCACTTGCTGTTTCCAAGGAAAAAAACTACACTTTCAATCCCAAAAATAGTTTAGCCAGATGATCTAAATCACTTTATAGATAAAATCTAAACTGAACACGCAGAATACACCAACCAGCCATAACATTATGAGCACTGACCAGGTGAAGTAAAACACGGATTATCTCGGTTTCATGGCACCTGTTAGTGGGTGGGATATATTAGGCCAGCAAGTGAACATTTTGTACTCAAAGTTGATGTGTTAGAAGCAAAATGGGCAGCGTTCTCCAAGGAAGGAAAAGAGGTGAACCAGAGACAGGGTCATGATGCACATGGGGAGTGAAGGCTGGCCCGTGTGGTCTGATCCAACAGACACGCTACTGAAGCTTAAACTGCTGAAACAATTAATGCTGGTTCTGATAGAAAGGGGTCAGAACACACAGTGCATCAGTCTGTTATGTATGGGGCTACAGGGTGCCCAGGCGTAATGTTATGGCTGATTGATGTATGTCTCTACAATAGTACAATATATTTCAACTTTGAACTAGTTATACTGTCTGTAAACTATGACAGATGTTTACAACAGAAGCTTTTTTCTCTTCTAATAAAGTCTGGCTGACTTGGAGTTTGTTTAAAACGCTGTCTTACCACTCGTGTCTCTTACCCTGTTGTGTTCCCACATCTGACCAAATAACTTTGGTTGGTTGTTTTATTGTTACTAAAATAGAAATGATGGGCAATACTACAAAAATAAGACCCATCTGTAATAAGCCAATAAGGATATTCAGTAATTCACCCGATGGCAAACATACTGTACACCATAAAAATAGACAGACTGGTGTCTAATGCAATGAACTGAACTGTACTATTTAATAAAAAATGAGTTTTTAATAGATAGTGCTTGGGATCATCACTTGAATGAGAAATTGTAGAAAGACGACCTCATATGATTACTTCAAAGACAATACACGGATCAAACTTTACATTTAAACGCTGTTTGGTCATTTAAGCTGACGTAACATCTTTACATCGACCACAGTTCTTCAGTAACAACAAATTGCCCATCTACTCAGTTAAAGCACCAGACCCCTGACACACTACAGACGAGCAGACAGAAATGAGAGTGCTCATGTTTGGAGGATATTGCCTGAGAGCCCACTCCAACACAATATCTATTCGGGGACTGGTGCTCTTTTTTTCTGAAGAAAAAAATGGAAGAAAAGCAAACACTTCCATAAGTAATGCATGAACGGTACAGTTGGCTTGGCTCAGTCACATGATTTATTTTTAGCTCATGTGAACAGGCAGTTTCTCTGCAGAAAGGGAGAGAGAGAGAGAGAGAGAGAGAGAGGCGGATGGAGTCGGCCATGGGGGAGGGTCTGGCGTGGCATTAAATGAAAAAAGTAATCACTCTTCCATCTGGATGATCTGAAATTCATCTGTTTTTTTTTTTTTTTTTTTTTTTAAATAGTTGTATCATCAGAGTGAGGCTCCAGCAGTGGGAGCTGAAGAGTTAAAAAAAAGAAAAAGGGCTGCATTCAATCAGTAAACTACATGTGGACAGAACTGCATATCAGACAGGAAATGAAAATGTGGCAAAACTGGCAAACTGGTGCATGAGAAAAATGAGAAAGGCCATTTTCAGCCGGAGCTGCATCTTATGTATGAAACAAACAAACAAATAAAACTGATTTTACTGTGACTTAGCTCCAACATACGACTGGAATCTGTTACGGTCTTCTCACAGTTTACACGCAAATAAACAGTGAAAGAGATCTGCTTAAGAGGTGAAGCACCGCTCCGCTGAGGTGATGAGGGCCTCTCTCGTTAACCCACTTTCCCACAGTGACCCAGTCATGTCCGTCCGAATGGCGGAGGTCACAATCAAACCATTTCTGTGACGAGCTAACAGTAAGGCATTGCATGGAGTTCCTCTTTCATCTCGGTTTGACAGCTGCATGGGTAAAGAAGACTTGTGCGTTCACCTCGAGGCGTGTGTGTTTTATTTTTCCACAATCTGGAGAGAGAAACATCAAAGCTGTGCCTTCTCTCAGTACCCGTAGCACTCACACTGGCTAGCCTCGGATTATTTGAATCGCAGCGAGACTGCTCTCGACTTCTACCCCACAGGCACTCCGTCTGAATAGTAATTAGCTACTGACCTCTATTCTCTTTCCCTGCTCTTTCCTCTTCCTCAGTTGCTTTCTCAGAAAAAACAGTTTGAAAACACATGTCAACACCTGCTCACCGAAAATGATCCAAACATTCAAATATTACAGCGAGTTCCAGCTGTTATCTCACAGAAAAAGACGCTGATAGTGGCTCCAAGTCAGATCTTCTAAATTTAATAAACCAAAAATCGGTTTAAATATTTGACTGCTGCAACAGGCTAACATTATAAAGCTCCAGAATAAAGAATGACATATGGTCCCCTTCTGTTTGGTACTTTGCCATCTCTGCATTTGCTGATATGAGTTCAAGTGTGTTATTTTCATGGGGAGGGTTGTTGTTTATTTCCCAAACCAACCTTCCTAAAGAGCCGTCACAGTTTTATCTGTGGAACAAACACCCTACTGAAACCTCCCAGCTGCCTCCTCTTTACCAGCAGGCCGAGCCTCCGACTCAGCCAAAAGAACACCCACTCACTGCGTCCACACGCTCACGCACACCAGTCTGACCACCACTACAGGACAGTTTCACTTAGACAACATAATGCTGCGTAAATTAGTCAGAAAAAGTCATGTGAAGTCAAAGTGAAAAGTGGTTTGACAACATATATAATCCTTTCTACATATGTGGTGTGAGAAGTGTATGTCTCTGCATGTGTATACTTGCTGTCAAAAATCATAGAGGAGGAGCCAACAGTGCAGAGTGCATGTCAATACAGGACTGCAAGCGTGTCAACAGGAACGTGCACTTCAATGTGTGACTGACCTTATGGGTGACGGCGCTACTTAGACCATATTCAAAACTTAATACATACTTATTAAAGCCCTTAGCATCCATATTATACTCTTATATCTCTTGAAGGGTAAGAACAACTATATTATTTCACTGACTTCTGACAAGATTATACATATTTGGGGTCAGATTGTTTCAGCTTGTCATTTAAGCTATAATGTTTAACTGAATCAAACATTCTAACTCATCATACGCATTTTTTTATGGTTACATGAGTTGAGATCAGTAAAAAATGAGTAGATGTTCAGAGCATCATTTTATACACATTTTCTCACAAATCAGTCTGTTATATTATTTGGTATCTTTAAAGAAAGAGAGTATTAATAATATATTATTACAGTTTTTTTTAAATTGCTTAGGCAAATTTCTTAAACACTGTTGCAGTTCAACAAGGTCCCATCATCATTCCTAAGGTCAAGACAGTTTAATGAACTGTGTCAGTATGACAAAAGGACAATACAATTGTGTGTCTTTATGTCATTGACACTTACATACAGTGACCCAATAATGAGGTC